GCCTTCTCTACAGGTTTCGCCCGGGACTTCGCCACTCACGATGTCCCCGTCGCGGACATCACCACGAACTGCGGCTGCCCCAGTCGCTGAGGCTTCGCGTTCTTCCGCCTCTTCCGTTGGATCGCCTGATTTATTGTTCGAAATCTTCTGATTTGGACACCTCCCACTTGCGGGCTTGTGTTAAGAGTTTTAGCACTGTGGACTGGGCTAGGGAACAGCAGCGGGAGAGCGAGTGTGTGGTGGCTATGCGTTTTTTGTCTTGCGGTTCTCCCTCCCCACCCCCTCCGGGCTTCCTCACTCTCTGTGCTCCTCTTCGCTCCCCTCGGCTAGATGATGTGCTTGTGTTGGCGGCGAAAACCAGACTGCACACGACCGATGACAACATCACCCTCCTCGTACATAAATCGGCGACGTCGCCGGTTGGGCGCTCTGGCGGCAGGACCACTCGTCTGCCGGATACTGGCGTGCCCCGTGTCTACGTGCCAATGCTGATGCGTCCGTGGGTCCCTCATGCATGCCATACCGCCGCGTCATTCCATCTCGGCGTCCATCGTACACAGCGTCTGCTCGAGCGCTTCTACTGGTGGATTGGTTTGGATCGTTCCGTGCGCTGGTGGCTTCGGGCGTGTTTGGTGTGTCAAGCTCGCAAGACTTCACGTCAGACTGCTCGGTGACCCGTCATTGCTCTGCCATTGCAGTAGGGGCCTGGTACGGTCGTCGGCGTCGACTTCTTCGGACCTCTGCCAGTGACTGCCAAGGGCAACTCCTACATTTTGTTGTTCACAGACCGTTTCAGTCGGAGAGCCGACATGTTCGCAGTTACAGCGGCGGAATTTACGGCGAGAGGGACGGCTCACATCTTCGTCAACCAATACATGACCACGTGGGGATGTCCGACTACGTTATTGTCGGACAACGGACTGCATTTCTGCTCGAAGCTCTCCATGGCGATCTACGAGGTGATGAAGATCAAGAAGGTCACCACCAGCTCCTACCACCCACAGACCAACGGCGGCACTGAACGCGTCAACCACACGATGGCCCAGATGCTTGCGGTGGTCGTCAACGAACAGCAAAACGATTGGGACATACATCTCCCGCACGTTGAGTTTGCCTACAACAATTCCGTGAACCAGTCTACTGGATTAGCGCCAAACGAGATCCACATCGGACGCATCCCGCGACTCCCGCTTTCGGTCTTCGATCGTCCCACGGTAGGTGGTCATCAAAGCTTGGCCCGCGATCAACTCGAGTATTGCAACCTGGCTGTCGATCGCCAGCGCCGGGCCTACGAACTTGTCCGTGAGTACAACGCGCTGAAGATTTCGCGAGTCGAACGCCGAAATTCATCCCTGCTGGACGCCATCCACAAGCTCCCTCAGTTTCCCGTTGGCGGGTGGGCTTGGGTGTACAACACGGCTGCTACAATTCGACAGGGTGTGCGGAAGGACACGGACCAACAGGTGCTCAAGGCCAAATTCGCACTTTCCTGGACGGGACCTTACAAAGTTCTTGCGGTGGGTCCCACCTCTGCCGACGCCACTCCGGACGGCCGCCCGTTGGCGCATAAACTCCTCTACCTGGACCTGCCTTCCGATCTTTCCGGCCCGGCAGCTCGTTGTCGCGTATCTGTCCTTCGTTGCAAGCCCTGTCGCAATCCGTACGAGACGGACGACTTGCCGCAATCTCTGCCCGCCGAGCTTTCGCGTTATGTTCTGCACTCTTTCGGAGATAAATGTCCACCTTTCCACGTCACCGCGGATGATGTGTCGGTGCCTGTCGGGCGCCTCGAGGTCGACTACATCTCGGGACATCAACTGGTGCGGGGCCGTAGCGGCGTTCTCGCTGTCCTGTACCAGACGCATTGGGTAGGCCTGACTACTCCTTCATGGGAACGGGAATCCGACCTTGATCTATTCCGTCGACACATCCTCTTGTACTGGTCCCGGGAGGCCTGCCAAAGCAACCGGGGTAACCGTACATATCGAGTGGCTCGGACTCGCGCGGCACAGCGGGAGCTAGCCCGGAATCGTGGAGAACGCTATTTGCCTCCTGGGGCTGATCTTGTGCTTAATGCGACTTGGCTTCGCCGTTTCAGCACTTCGCCCCTCCCTGTTGGCGCGCGGCTGTGGTACAAGGCCCGTGATGGATTGTGGTGGACCGGACGCATTGGTGCTCATCAGGGCGGCTCGTACATCGTTCGATTTTTGGATGACCCGGGCCCAAGCGTTCTGCCTCTGCCTGCGCATCTCTACTCCACCGCTTTGGACGCCGTCTGTAGATCATGGTGTTTAGATAAACATCGTTCGCGCCCTCTGGGCGACAACCCTGGTCGCACTCTGCTCCTTGCTGACTCCTTACCGTCGGCTGTTCCCACCATTTCTGCTTTGCGTCGCCGTTTTCATGTACCAATCGGCCTATTTTGGTCTTTTGTGCCATCCTTCTCGCCGACGTTTTGCTTTTGTTATTTTTTCTGTCACCTTCCGTTTTGTTTTATTTTTTATTTTTTATTTTTTCTGTCTTGCCTCTTTGCTTTCGTTGGCTTATTGTGTTTTGGACGCTGGGGCAACGCCGCCTCAAGACACGCAGTGTCGAGTGATCCTTCTTCCTTGTTGCCTGCATTGATCTGAATCAGTGAACTGCCGCGACCTGGATGTCCGTTCTCTCTCGCCTTTTCTTCATTTTTTTCTTGTTGCTGTTGTTGGCCTTTGGTTCTCTCAAAAAGCTCCCTCCGAAGTTTCGTCGGTGTTGTCTGCCTCTGAACACTTGGAAAAAGAGTTCTCCAAGTTTCTTCGGTGATGTTTGCCTCGGGACACGTGGACACCGAGCTCCCCGCGTTTTCCTGGTTCGCCTGTTTGCCAACTAATGATGTTTTGATTTTTATTTTATTTTTGTTCCATCTTGCCGCAGAAGTGTCGCATACGCTTGGTGCTTCGGGATTCCATCCCGTGGCGTCGCCTTCTCCCATGGATTTTCGTCGTCACCCACACTTCGTTCTGCTTCGTCTCCATCATCGCCACCTTCGGGCGACGCCTTCATCACAGTAGCGCCCCTGAGTCGTCGTCTTGTTGTGTGAATCTCTACGACTTTCTGTGTTTTATGTCTTTGAATGATGCGTATTGCCAGCGAGCCATGGCGCAGTTCGTCGACCGCCTCTCTTGCATTAATTGCTTGTGCTTTGCATCCTTGGTCCTCAATAGGTCTTGCCCCTGCCGTCTCCTTATACGAGTTGGGTACCCTGGCACGCTGGCCATCGTTCTCCGTGCCTTTGCCTGTCGTTCTTTTCTCCTGCCCTTCGTTAACGTCCTAGATTGCGTTGAGTTTTCCCTTTGCGTCGCGTCCAGTATCAAAGGCCGTATTCGTTCGGAAATTCGTATGGGTTTCGAGTTTCGTCACCGTATTTTGGACTCGCCCGGGTAGTCACCCTCATTCCTCCAGCGGTGATACGCGCGGGTGCGCGTAAAAGAGTGGTGTGTGGCGTCTGGATATTGTTTTTTTTTCCTGTCGTCGTCTGTTCAGGATGATAGATAGCGTGCTCTACCGCAAAATATATTCTTCGTAGCTTGATCCCTTGAAGCGTTGTCGTTGAGATGTCGATGTTCCGTCTCGTGAACGTTCGCGTTCTTCATCTCAATGATGGTGTGGGGGATTGATTGGGTATATTTCTACTTATCACCCTCCTATTGGTTGTTTTGTGAAGAGTCATATATTCGATTCATGATCATAAATCATCAGCTCAAATGCTACTGTAGCTTTAGACTAGGATTTGAGCATTGATTTGAGTATAGAATCTGCATATATGATATTCAGGGTGGGCTAGTGTTAAGGAGTGTGGCTGCTAGCATGAATAGGGTACATCTTATTGTTGATAGGATGCGGGTCGGTCAGGAGGTATCCCTTCTGACCCCTACCCCCTTAGAATTGTCTACTCTGTGTACCCCCTGACATGAAGTTGGATCCCAACTTCATCCCAGACCTTTGCTGATCGTCTTTCAGCAATAACAAGCAACTTTCCCATCTCAACGTGGTCGTGGACAAGCGTGTCAACGACAGAACCTTCATCTATCTCTAGGAGCAAGCTACCGCCCACGGCTTCACTCCTTGAAACTGTACGGAGTGCGATGAGTGGAAACCCGAGTTTTATTCTCGGATTGGACACCATGTAACGAGTCGTTAGCACGTAGCTGTGGAGGTCTAAAGTGTGTAATCCGTAAGTACGTATAGCTCCCGTTCACGTCACTGTTTCTGGCGCGAAAACGGGAATTACTGCTGCTTAGAGGTATTCCAGCCCTCTCATGCAGCGATGCACACACACTGACCTCTCTTTGTGCCATCGAACGGCTGTACCGAGTGCGATGAGTGGAAACCCGAGTTCGATTCTCGGATTGGACACCATGTAACGAGTCGTTAGCACGTAGCTGTGGAGGTCAAAAGTGTGTAATCAGTAAGTACGTATAGCTCCCGTTCACGTCACTGTTTCTGGCGCGAGAACGGGAATTACTGCTGCTTAGAGGTACTCTAGCCCTCTCATGCAGCGATGCACACATACTGACCTCTCTTTGTGCAATCGAACGACTCTACCGAGTGCGATGAGTAGTGAAGATACTTGTACCAGCTGTAGTGGCCGGTGTAGCGTCGGATAAAAGTCTCCTTGTGGATGTTATGGTCTTACTCTATTAGTGCAAGCTCAGCATGGTAGCTTAGTTGTGAGCAGAGGAGGGCGAGTCCAGACAGCTCTTGCAGAGACTCCGCCGAATGCGGCCAACTACCTCTGTGGGGGTGCACTTGCTTGACAATGAATGTCTCGAACCGTAACACTTGCACTGACTTGGAGAACACCAGGGCTTGCCCTGCCACAACAGCCAATTCTCGAATAAGAACATTGCCCGTGATTCTTAGTCCTCCTTCACGCATGGGAAGGTGTACCTGTGCCCTAGCTGTCCCTTTGAAGAAATCTACCTCCTCGCTCTTCGTCGGGTCTGCGCGTACCTCTTTGTCCGTTGGCATTCTCATGCTGTCGGTCATCTTTCCAAGGACGATCTTACTCATTGCCCACATCATGTTGTCATGTTTTCTAGCGGTAGAGTTGGCAGGGCCAGACTCACCGTCAGGGGACCGATACCTTCTTGCTGCGGCGCACCCGCCGCGAGGCGTGCGTAATGGTGGAGTTGGGTCGGCACTGGTGCGTCAGGTACAAAGGTGCAGATGCGCGGGCCTCCAGGCCGTCGGTGTAGGCAGCAATGCCCATCTGATCTTTGTTCGCGGAGGCAGACGTCATCAGAAAGGTGGACGGGCGCTTTGTACCCGGCCCTTGGTTTGCTAGAGGGAGCTGTAAAACGGATGGAGAGGCTAGGGATAGGGGCTGTTCCGATGTCTATGTGGGTCTGTGGGGTCTCTAGCCATTCAAGTGGCAGGACCCTGGGTGTCGAAAGGAATTGTCCAGACAGGAACGTACATGGGACCCCAGCCTACAAGCACTGCTACAGACCTGATGTTAGCAGCCTCTCGATCGGTACCGAGTTCGGCAGATGAGCCGGAACAGCGGTAGTAATGAGTCTCGAAGGTGGCTTGTGAGAAGGAGTAGAAGGACTCCGGTCGTGGATACGGTATTCGCTTGTTGATTATTGCTAGCCCAGGGCAAGCAAGGAGAAGAAGTATAGAGGAGAGGTCGAGGCAAGGGGACTGAGCAACCTAGCCTAGACGGAGCCCGGCAAACCGGACCTTACTGCTAGTACCTGTTGGGAATAACGCATTCTCCCAAAGGTGCAACTCGTATAAACCGTAACAATGTAACCGTAACAACCCCCCATAAGCATGAACAGCTATTTGTCAGCTGCCACATGCTAATAAACGGTAACAGGAAATGTGTAAACCGCAAAGTGACACACTTCCTTTTGGAATACTACCATGCAATGCCTTTGAGTGGGCTGAATGTTCAACCCAAAATTACAAGAGGTGAATAGTGGCAAAACCCAAATAACATCCACTCCTTTACATAATTGCGCGTTGAACCACGGCCCGACATCGACTTGCGCGAAGGAAAACCCGGTCTCCGGGACAAACCCTTCGCTCCCCATCCCGAGAGCCCTAGAACTTATCTCAACAACCTAAAACACCAAGTGACACTCGGACGTAAATACTCTAACAAAAAACCGTCCCTCGTTTGGTGAATTCACTGTAGTCGCAGTCCGGCTCTCAACACTGCCGCGCGGGAAAAACCCGGCCACCCAGGAAAAAGCCCATTGCGCAAAGCACCTACAACACAAACCCAATGAAATGCCACGGCACTCAGCAACAACCCTCGTGGGTGCTACCGGACGTAGGACCACCCTTCGACTGCAAATCAGACCAAGACATCTAGCAAGTACGGTCTCCGAACAGTTAAGCCTTACTGAACCTCAACTGGGGTGCGCACTCAAAAATCAAATGGACATGCATAAAAACCGAAAGAAAATACTCTTATCAACAATAGTAAAAAACTATCAATGGTACATACATACGACCGAATCTTGTGCGGACATCCATGATCACCCGCAGACGGTCGCACTAACCCAACGCATCCTCATCGTCCAGCAATCACACTAGCTCGAAATCCCTCCCCCCAAGGCTATCTCGAAAGTCTTTCCAGTTCGCGTCTGGACAGCTTCTCCCAGTTCCAGTCAGTGTAGCGCACGCGCCAGTGGGGGGAAAGGTAGTCATATACCTGACCCTGAAGTAGGATTCCTCCGGCTAACTCCTTCTGGAAGGTAAAACCTATCGGGGAAACGTGCAAGGCTTGGGCGCGGGACAACAGGGTACGGAGCTTGACTGAGTCGGGTGCAGAAGCGTTCGCCAGCTGGGGGAAATACAAGTGCCAGAGAGCAACGAAGCAATTCAACTGAAGGGGTGTGAAACTGCGTCGCATGGTCTCTTCCGACAGCCAGTCCAACACTAAACCGTTCCCTGACTTCCCCTTGTACTCCCAAACAGTTCGCATGCCGGAAGCTGGTTGAGCTCTGCGACAGTCGGCGATGGTGACTAGACCCAAACTCTCTTAAGCTCCTGGAGGCAATTTGAAGTCGGGCCCCCACGCATACTGGGCGAACTCTTCGGCTAGCGAGTATCGGAAAGGAAGTTCTCGGAGGTCGAAAGGTTTCACATCGGCCGTAGATACCCTTCGGCTGCGTTTCTTTCTACCATGCATCATGACTTCTACAGTAAGACCAGGCTGGATCACCCCCGTCACTTTCCACGGTCCTGTGTAGATCGTGTTGCAGCTTTCTTCCCCTGTGATCACGATGTCGACCACTCTCGGACTCGCGCACGAGCACCAGGCTGTCCTTCACGACCCCCACTCNAACACTAAACCGTTCCCTGACTTCCCCTTGTACTCCCAAACAGTTCGCATGCCGGAAGCTGGTTGAGCTCTGCGACAGTCGGCGATGGTGACTAGACCCAAACTCTCTTAAGCTCCTGGAGGCAATTTGAAGTCGGGCCCCCACGCATACTGGGCGAACTCTTCGGCTAGCGAGTATCGGAAAGGAAGTTCTCGGAGGTCGAAAGGTTTCACATCGGCCGTAGATACCCTTCGGCTGCGTTTCTTTCTACCATGCATCATGACTTCTACAGTAAGACCAGGCTGGATCACCCCCGTCACTTTCCACGGTCCTGTGTAGATCGTGTTGCAGCTTTCTTCCCCTGTGATCACGATGTCGACCACTCTCGGACTCGCGCACGAGCACCAGGCTGTCCTTCACGACCCCCACTCCAGCTGACGACCGCTCGATGGAGGCGTTGGCTTTCGCGCGTGCAGTCACTCGAAGCTCATGCCGTTTCTTGAGGGCGAGTCATACTTCACGGAGATTTTGCTTGCGCCTCTCCACGAAGTTGTCGAGTCCCCGTTCCTGATCCATCTCGTCCGTAAGAGGAACTAACGAATCCCGCGGCGTGCGAGGCTTGCGACCGAACAGGACCTCGAAGGGGGTAATATTAGATGGGAGCGAGGTGTCTGGCAAGTTGCGTTTGATCCACATCGCAGGCGAAACATACTCATTCCATCGGTCAGGCCAGGACCTACACAGCTCAGCCAACAAGTCCTGTAGCCATCACCCCAGTCTCTCTACCGACCCTTGGCAACTCGTCCCACGGCTCAAGCCGTCTACCTGGCACCATGGCTACTCGTCTGCTGAGCGGTCTCTTGCGTCTACGACAGGCACATGACGGCACATAGTGTCGAGTGTCGTTCGTCATCGTGGGCCAGTGGAAATGATCGCGCGAAAGGGACAGCGTTGCTCCTACCCCTTCATGACCATGTAGCGTGCGTGCCCACACAATGATGTCAGCTACCATGGTGACTGGAATAGCAGGCAGTTTCTTTCCTTCCTATGGTCGTACCGAATCACATCATTCGCGCCTAGGCAATAACTGTTGCACTCACTTCCCCCGTGGCTAGAGTCAACTTCATTGCTCAGAACCTTGCGAACCTGACTCAGATGGGTGTCGTCTCGTTGCCGATGCGCTAGCTCGGACGGCTTTGTGAGTAGTACCCGAGCTGTCAGATCGATGGCTGATGCTCCACCAATCGCGTGGCTCGACGAAGACATCGGAACCTCCCCCCGTGCAGCCAGCACCTCACCGATGTCGTCGTGGCCAGGTCGAACGGGCGACGGCGATAGTGTCGATGGCGACGGCGCCGGAACCGAGGATTCCACCGTGGTGGGGTCGATGGCCTCCCTGTCCGGGATGGCCTCCAGTATGCTTGTTGGGGGCAGCTGCGCGTCGCCGATCGGTCGTAATCGCACCCAAGGGGTACGGGTCCGGCCGCTGCGGCGGGGGCCTTCAGGCTCATGGTCAACAGCAGCACACGCAGCGACCGGCAACGCTCGAAGGGCGGACAGGTGGAAGTCGGCCAACTCTGGGGTGTGATAGAGGTGTTGGAGTCAGCATCGCCTACCTTGTCTACCTGCACAGGGTCCAACTCGGCCAGACTCACACCCTTCAACTCCGGTCCAGAGATCTCTCTAACGAAGCTCCTGCAGCAGCGGACGACAGATCATCCGGAAACGAATCGTCGACGTCGACCACTACAGGGTTCGCAACGGTCAACCGGGACAAAGCATTGGGCAATGCGTGCTCTACTCCCGCCTTCCATTCCAGCTCCATGTCGTACTCCATCAGCCGCGTCGCCCACCTGTGCAGCTTGGGGCAGAGTTCACGGCATCGGAACAACCATGTGAGGGCAGAACAGTCTGTCACAAGTTTGAACCGTCTAACCGCTAGGTACGGCCGGAAGTGGTCTACCGCCCACAAGACCCCCATGCCTTCCTGTGCCGTGGCCCCCCGTCTAGCATCGGTTTATGAAAACCAGTGGCTTGCGAGCGCCACCGCTCTGGATTCACCATCGATTGTCTCCATGAACGAAGCTCCTACACCCAGCGTGCTAGCATCCGTGTGTAGTTCGAACGGACGCTCAAGGTCAGGGAAAGCGAGAACTTTCGGGGAAGCCAACGTTGCTCGTAAAGACAGGAAGGCGTCTTCCTCAGCTTGCGTGCACGTTTCGAAGCGAAGGCTTTGTTGCGCAGGATGTTGGTGAGCGGAGCAGCAGCCAAACTGTAGTGAGGAACAAACTGACGCGCAAGTAGCCGGTGAGGCCCAAAAACGTGCGCAGCTCTTCTACGGTGTGTGGGCGAGGCATGCTTGCGATTGCATCTAGCTAGCTTAGACGGAGCAGGGTACAGGCCCGTACAGTCGATGATCATGCCGAGGAACTCCTGCGATGCTGCGCCGAAAATGCACTTCGCGAAGCTCACGAACAGCCCCGCAGCCAGAAGGCGGTTCAGAACGAGCGTCAGAGTGGCGACGTGTTCTTCCCATGTGTCGCTAGCGATGACAATGTCGTCAAGCCAGCTAAACACGCCCGATAGATGCCCCCAAGCCGACTTTACTCTACGAGTGAAGGCCGCCGCAAGCACCGTCAGGCCGAAACCCGCGCGAGTAAATTCCCAAAGCATACCATCCGCATCTCGAAAGGCCGTCTTGTAACGGTCTTTCTCGGCGATTTCCATCTGGCGAAAACCGGAGGCGAGGTCTAGCTGCGTGAAATACTTCTTGCCCTTCAACCCGTCGAATATCGTCTGCATGTCACCCCAACCCCCACTATCGGAGACCAAGAGTTTGTTGAGTTCACGCCAGTCGATGCACAGTCGCAGCGTACCATCCTTCTTCTTAACGCACAAGCACTGGGCAGCCCACGGAGACATGGATTGACGGATCACTCCTCGGTCTACCAACTGCTGAATCTCTGCCCTGATCATGCGTCGTCCTGCCGGAGCGAAACGCCGTTGCTTGGCTGCGAAAGGTGTACAAAACTCGTTGATCAGAGGAAGCTCATACTCACCGTTGATGCAAGCCGGCACTCGCTTCGGGTCGAGCGGAAACAGACCGTCCTCGATGAACGCTGCGAGGACGTTGACGAGTTGCTGCTTCTTGAGCGACCCCGCCGTCCCCAGGTTGGCGTCCTCCACGCGAACACGCGGGATGGATGTCCCATTAGATGGGGACGGGCTCGGGGCGCGCGGTCCACGGGGAGGCAAGGGTGGGTGGGAAGCAGAGGGGGCGGTGTCAAACAGCGAATCGAAAGCCGGCTTGTCGCGAGCATTGAGTGCTATCATGCGAGCTATCGCCCGGCTACCCTCGACTGTCACCTTCTCCTCACTACGGTTCACCAACTTGCAGCAAACAGGCGACCCCGGAACCCACCACATTACCGCACGAGCTATTCCCACTACAGCTCCCTACTCTTAATCAAACCGCTCGGTCGGCAAGACCATCACTAGCTGCCTGTCCAGCGGATGTGGCCTCACAGCCACAGATTCCACCGCGCGAGTGGTGAAACCCTCGACGACGGTGGTCTCCGGCACTTGTCTCACGTCCCACTCGAAGGAGGTGTCGTCTTCCCACACCACGTCCTCGTAGCAAGGCATATCTGTGGGAACGGCGGGCACTTCGGGGGCGTTTTCGGGGGTAGCCGTCAGTAGACTGAACTGGTCCCGAGCGTTGCGGAGGGGGCTTGCGGCGTGAGAGGCGTACGATGTTCAGAAAAGGCACCGAGGGTGCTGCTGGTACAGGCCTAAAGCCTCTGCTGGAGCTGAAATCGAGCACGCTAGCATTCCGCCTAAAGAAGTCTGCTCCCACAATGAACCCGTATGGCAACCCGTCTGCCACGCTTATGTCTCTTACTCGCGCATCGCCGTCAAACAACACCGGCAGTGATACGGATTGTAGAATACACATCGGAGGGGTATCACTGTCGCTATGGTTGGCAGCTTCGAGAGCCCCTGCACCTGATTGTGTGGAGATGACATCGTTGCTGGTGCGACGAAGAGGGGATAGTGTGAGAGTCAATATGCAAAAGGAGAAAAAATAAACCTTTGAAAGCCTTAGTTTGTAAAATGCTGAAATAATATCATGGGAACGACAGCCCCATGCTTCGTACGGCACACCCATCCAACAGGCAAAATAGAATAGCTACACATGAAAAAACAAAATTAAACGAACCGCAAGCGTGCAGAAATCTGGACGACTTTAATCAAGGTATGATCGAGCGTCAGGCGCCGCGGTACCAGAATGTAGGGTGGGAAGGAGAGGTAACCTATGAGAGGTCCAACCCCACCACAATAGCTCTCTGAAACCACAGTGGTGAACAGGTTACTGTCGAATATGAGACTGGTCCAGGGAGGAGAGGTCACGAGGATGATCCCAAACATGCACAAGATGCAACACTAGCAAGCAGCTCGACTCGGGGTCTTCGGTCTTACGCACTTTTTTACACCATCATCATCGTTTGTGGCTGCCGCACGGGTGAGTCTGCTGCTGTGGGGCCGCAAGTGCGAGAGGCACGACCCATCAGTGTTCACCCAATCCGATCAACCTGGTAGTTCAGCTGTCCAGTGGCAACCAGCTATCCACGCAGATACAGAAACAGCTATTGCGGTGGCGCCAACGGGCAGAGGAACAATACGATAACACCGAGCTCTCTATACCTTCCCATACAAAAGTATGCATAGGCGCATGGACGCATACGCATGTCAGCCCTGAACAGTGTAAAATGCGCGCCAAAAAAAAAAAACACAGGAATCGCGAGTACTCTAGGCCAGGGTACGGAGGGTGCATGCGCGTTCGGAGGTCGGCTGCGGCGCAGGGGTACACAAGGCACAAGCAAAGGGTGTGTTCATGCTGGAGCGCGCTGATTGAGACAAGCCGCAGGCCGTTGAAGGGCGAGCGCATGATAAGGAAAGAAAAGAAAAAGCGCCGAAACGTGCAAGGGAGAGGAAAAAACAAACAGAGGGACGCGAAAGGGCCTACAAGCCACACGGCTACAGCATGACGAGCACATCAACGGCTCGTCGACAGCAACGACACGGAAGGACACCATAAAACGGATGGAGAGGCTAGGGATAGGGGCTGGTCCGACGTCTATGTGGGTCTGTGGGGCTAGCCATTCAAGCGGCAGGACCCTGGGTGTCGAAAGGAATTGTCAAGAGAGGAATGTACATGGGACCCCAGCCTACAAGCACTGCTATCGACCTGATGTTAGCAGCCTCTCGATCGGTACCGAGTTCGGTAGATGAGCCGGAACAGCGGTAGTAATGAGTCTCGAAGGTGGCTTGTGAGAAGGAGTAGAAGGACTCCGGTCGTGGATACGGTATTCGCTTGTTGATTATTGCTAGCCCAGGGCAAGCAAGGAGAAGAAGTATCGTCTAGTCTAGAGGAGAGGTCAAGGCAAGGGGACTGAGCAAACCTAGCCTCTAGACGGAGCCCGGCAAACCGGACCTTACTGCTAGTACCTGTCGGGAATAACGCATTCTCCCAAAGGTGCAACTCGTATTAACCGTAACAATGCAACCGTAACAGCTGCACTGTCTCCGTAACCTGGTTTTAATTTTGCTGTCAATGGAGGAGGGGACAGGTGGTGACGACACAGGTGGCCAATGGGCACGGTTATGGGGGGGGTTAAGTGATCTGTGACCCCTAGGAGTTGTGCAACCTGCGTAACCCGGTCGGGAGCACCGTTGCCAACCTCCAAGGTCAGGCAGGGTTCGAAAACGCCGGCCCACGCCCAGTTAAGGGACATTTGTATCTGTGCTTGGTTGCAGGCGAGGTTGTCGAAGCCCAAGCATGTCCATGCCTTGCCGCGAAAACTATGTACCAGCCGGTGTCCACCGAGTACACACGCAAATTTATCAGAATTTTTTGTCATCCGCGGCAAAAAAAAAAACTCAGCCACAGAATACTTCGTCATAATTCGGACGCCAAAAATAACACGGCCATCATCATGAGCCTTCGGCGCCGGGTTTCGCAAGGCACACATACTTCGTAGAACGCACTTCCTTCAGAACGGCCCACACGAGGGCGCGGCGACCCCAACCGCCAAAGAAACGAAGCTAAAAGCTCCATTCCAAGGATGTGATCCTCAGTACAACGCCATCCAAGGCATGCTTCACGTGGCCAAGGCAAGGACACCAAGTGAGAAAGGCCGCCACAGATACGACTTGCGTTCTACTTCTTCGACACTGGTACAAGTTTAACCCCTCATCCCCCCACACAAACAAAAAAACTCCAAACATTCAAAACAGGCGGAGAGAGAACTATCAAGTTGTGTTCTCTCGGTGACTCCACCAATACTGCCCCGCCCTCTTTCTTCTCGCGGAATTAGCCGGAAGGACCTGAGGGCAGCGGAAGGGTTGACATGTAAGAGAGGGATTGGATTTACTACAATTATAGCGAGGAATCAAATTCTTTAAAGGACACGTCGGGAAAATGCCGCCAAAAGATTGTACATCAAATATTAAGAGGAACAAAAAATGGGAAAAGAAGGCGGATGGGGAAAAAGATGGCGCCAAAGAGAATCGAATCCACAACCTTGCAGATTCAGGAAGTGCTGTATCAATATCAACACGGAAGAACGGATATTCTTTCTTCAACGTTACTGCACGATACTGCATGACAAGCTTCTTCCTTACCCGAGGAAGCGGGTTCAATTCCCCTCAGTGCTGCCATTTTTTCCGTTTTTTCCCCCGATATTTCCCCGATTTTTTTCCCGGCTGGAAGAGCAATATCTTGCAGTTGTTGTTTGTTGTTGTTTCTCACATTAGCTCTAAAAAAGAAAGATTGGGAGCCCGTGGTCTCAAAACCTGGCATACACGACCCTACGAAGAAATAGAAAAAAATAGGGTACAAAAACCACTCGGAAGAGAAACAAAATGATAGAAAGAAAGACCAGCTACCGCACCAAACGAGAAAGAGCGTCGAGGAGACCGATCAAAATAAAATAAAAGGAGAACGGGGAACGCTTCCCACACCCGCCT